GGCTGGGCACGGTGGCACATGCCTGTAGTTCCAGCTACTTGAGAGACTGAGGCAGAAGAATCACCTGAGCCCAAAAGATCGAGGCTGCGGCGGCCATGGGCGTGCCACTGCACTACAGCCTGGGCAACTGAGAGAGACTCCAACTCAAAAACAAAAATTAAAATAAAAACATAAAATAAAATGATACCTTTCAATTGTTTTAAAACCCACAACTGTAACCCCATTTCCAGAGTTCCACCCTCTACCAAGAACAACTCTGCTTCATGTTAATGTCATCTCTTTCCTTCTCTTCTGAACCTACTTTTCTCTGAGCTAGCTCTTACCTATCCTGTCTTCCTTCAATTACCATTTGAAGTACCAACTCATCCATCCTGGTTCCCACACCTCTTTGGAAGTCACTTCTTCAAGCTATCTGGTAGGTCTGTCTCTTCTAAGTACAAATTTTAATACGTCTAAAAATCATTTTTTTTGTTTTGAGTTGAGTCTCACTCTGTCACCCAGACTGGAGTGCAGTGGTACACTCACAGCCACCCTAGCATCGACCTGCTGGGTTCCAGTGATCTTTCTGCCTCAGTCTTCCAAGTAGCCGGAACTACAGGTGAGTGCTACCATGCCCAGCTAGTTTTTGATTTATTGTAGAGACGAGGTCTTGCCAAGTTGCCCAGGCGGGTCTCGAACCCACAGGCTTAGGCAATCCGCTCGCCTTGGCCCCCCAAAGTGCTGGGATTCCAGGCTGAGTCACAAGGTCCAGTCTAAAACCATTTTGTTAATATTAATAAAACTCATCTGGTCAGGCATAGTGACTCACATCTGTAAGTAATCCTATCACTTTGAGAAGCCAAGGCAGGAGTATTGCTTGAGCCCAGGAGTTCGATATCAACCTGGGCAATAAGAAGAGACCTCATCTCTATAAAAAAATCAAAAAATTAGCCAGATGTGGTGGTGCACCCCTGTAGTCTCAGCTACTTGGGAGACAGAAGCAGAAGGATCGCCTGAACCCAGGAGGTTGAAGCTGTGGTGAGCCATGATCCTGCCACTGCACTCCCACCTTGGCAACAGAGTGAGGCTTCAACTCTAAAAAAAATGAATAATACAACTCATCTTTACTACCCTGGTCTCAATAAGACTAGTGATGACAGTGTCAATCCATTTATGAGGGAAAGGGTAGCTGCCGTGATGTTCTTCCAGTTATAGTTTAGGAGCAATTAAAATGACTACACATTGGTGGCAGTTTATGGATTCACAGGAGGAAAGAATTCACAGAACTAGCGTTATTTTACCTTCTGTCTTTACATAGACATATTTGGCTGTTTTGAGACATTCTGGGGAAAAGGGAAAAAAAAGAAAAAAATGACTATAGAGGTGGAAGAATCACTACAAGAAAGTGACTGAAAAAACTAGGACAATTTGATACCAAGAGGAAAGTATGTAATCAAAAAACCATGAAAATATGAGGGAAAGGGGAAGAAAGGTAGTTAGCAATTGTGAGTTCCTGCTATGTATTAAACACTCTACAGACCCTTTTACTTTTATTTTATTTTATTTTATTTTATTTTTTGAGTTGGAGTCTCACTCTGTCGCCCAGACTGGAGTGGAGTGGCCGCTCCCGGCCACCGCAGCCTCGCCTGCTGGGCTCCGGCGATCCTTCCGCCTCAGCCTTCCTAGTAGCCGGAATTACAGGCATGCGTTACCATGCTCGGCTGATTTTTTGATTTATTGTAGAGATGAGGTCTCGCTGCCCAGGCGGGTCTCGAACCCGCGGGCTCAGGCAATCCACTCACCTCAGCCTCCCAAAGGCGCGGGATTACAGGCTGAGCCACCGAGCCCGGCTTACTTTTATTTCATTTAACCTGTACAAGGCTATAAGGATAGTTATTGGAAATCAATTTCTCCAAGTCTCAGCTTAATTGTCACAGTCTCAAATAATTGTTCAAAGTCACAGTTAATAAGAGGAAAACCAGCGACTGGAACCCAGGTCCACACGGCTCTGCTTTAGTTGAGTTCATGTGGTTGCAAGAGAAAACTCGTCAAGTAAAGGGAGGTTTACTGAAATGATACAGATTGAGAAACTAAGAAATGAGACTATTTGAGAAAACCAAGAATAGAAGGCGCTAACAGGACTTCTTGCAGACTGGACCAGCAAGGTAGCTGGGATTTCAAGGCATCCCCAGAAACTTCATCAACAAACACCTACAGATGGCCATTCTCAGCTCAGCCAGATGCCAGACGGTGCCACAATCTGACTTCCTCTGTCTACTCACAGTTTCTGCTTACCCCAAACTTTAGCCTGCACATGGCATGTTCAGTCCTTCGACCTTTTAGCTTCAGCTCCACTGCCAAGTGACAGATCTCGGCCGGGCGCAGTGGCTCACACTTATAATCCCAGGACGTTGGAAAGCTGAGGCGAGAGGATTGCCTGAGCCCACGAGTTCAGCCTGGGCAACTTGGCAAGTCCTCATCTCTACAATAAATCAAAGAATTAGCTGGGCACAGTAGCGTATGCCTATAGTTCCAGCTACTTGGAAGGCCAAGGAGAAGGATGGCTTCAGCCCAGCAGGTTAAGGCTGCAAGCGGCCATGAGCATGCCACCGCACTCTAGCCTGGGCAACAGAGTGAGACTCTGACTCAAAAAAAAAAAAAAAAAAAATGAAGAGAAAAAGAAAAACCTCCTGTTTCCTACTTCTACATCAAAGAGAACAATTTGACCAGCATCTCATCTCAAGACAGGGCACTGTTCAGCCCACAGACTGGCCTGGACCTCAACCTGATCAGCTTGAGCTTTGCACATACTGCTCCCTCCCAGTCTGGCCATGAGGAGTCCTCAACATTCAGGACTCCGCTCACCCCCTCGGAGAAACCTCTCCCTCCAGCTGGCTGCCTAAGAGTGCCTAAACAATCCCTTCCCATCCACTGGCTTGCTTCAAATCACTTTTGTATCACATTATCCTGTATTTAATGTCTTCAGAGCTCTTAGCAAGATCTGAACTTACTTAATACTCTCTCCTATTGGAATATAACCTACATAAAGAGAGGAACCAGCTGGGTACCGTGGCTCAGCCTATAATCTCAGCACTTTGGAAGCCAAGGCAAGAGGACTGCCTTAGCCCGGGGACTGGGCAACTTGATGAAACCTCATCTCTACAATGAATCACAAAAACTAGCTGGGCGTGGTGGTGTGCGTCTGTAGTTCCGCTATTGGGAAGGCTGAGGCAGAAGGATGGCCTAAGCCCAGCAGGTGGGGGCAGCGGTGGCCATGAACATGCCACTGCATTCCAGCCTGCACTCCAGCGACAGAGAGATCCCGACTCCAAACAACAACAAACATCTTATGAATGAAGTG